GGTATGAAGAGGCTAAGTAGCAGCCAGGTGCTGCTAATCAAATGGCCTTGATCAACTGATCAGCAAGTGTGACTACCTCTATAAAAGCTGAAGTGTTAGGAGTCTGCTGGTCTTGAGTACTGAGGTGTGTGTTAACACAGTGCCAAAGAGTAAAGACATCAGCAATGATTTTAGAGAAGCAATTGGCATATAAGCATTGTGTTAACACACACCTCAGTACTCAAGACCAGCAAACTCCTAACACTTTGGCTTTTATAGAGGTAGTCACACTTGCTGATGATCAATTGATCAAGTGCATTTGATTACCAGCACCTGGCTGCTACTTAGCCTCTTCATACCTATGGAAGCAGTAAGGGTGTACTTAGTTTTTCACACGGTCACACTTGCTGATGATCAATTGATCAAGTGCATTTGATTACCAGCACCTGGCTGCTACTTAGCCTCTTCATACCTATGGAAGCAGTAAGAGTGTACTTAGTTTTTCACACGTGGCTTCTCCATTTTGGCTTTCTTTCTGCAAAATGATGACATGGTGTAATATGTCATGTGTTGTTGTTCATCTGAGGTTGTGTTTATCTACTTTTGAGAACTGCTAAAAACCAGATGATTTTTATTATGTCCTGTTATGTAAAACCATAGAACTCAAAGAGGGTGTACTTTCTTTTTCACATGACTATCTGTGTGCTTTTGAGAACCATATAGTAATTGCTTGATGAGTCTTAAATCAGATGAATAGCAGAAAGGTAAAATGGCGTAGCTGGGATATGCTTCTTTTTCCATAATATTGCTAATTATACAACAAAGAGAAGAAGAATGAGAATTTAACTGTTCTTTTGTTGTGCTTTTAATTTATGGAAGAGAGGGGATGAATTCACCCTTCTGTATCTTGAAAAATTGCTACCTGTGATGAAACTTTCTCTTTTCTTCCTCCTATTTAGCTCCATGCTCCTTTTTTGCAGCAACAATTCAAGAATTTTTTAAAATCTGGGAACACCAAAGCACAGTGGTATTATGGACACAGTTTAAAAAACAGGGTATAAACAAAGAACTGCTACAGGAGATATGTAGCAGATACAGTGAAATAATGAATGTGTGAGCAGGTAGAAAGAGAATATTTGCTTATTTGTTTAAAACATATTTTGATCGAAAATTGAAAGGCAGAAATAACTTGTGAATAATTTCTCTACAGCTTAAGTTTCATAGTATTGAAGCACATGCATGCATTTTTTTTATTAGTAATTTAGGTTTTTGACACGTCCCACCTTTCAAAATATTATTTTGTAACCAACGGTTGCTGATAATCTGTAGACTTTAAGGCAGTGTTGTTCAAACTTGGCCACTTTAAGATGAGTGGACTTAACTCCCAGAATTCCCCAGCCACCCATTCTGGCTGGGGAATTCTGGGAGTTGAAGTCCACTCATCTTAGCCACCCATTCTGGCTGGGGAATTCTGGGAGTTGAAGTCCACTCATCTTAGCCACCCATTCTGGCTGGGGAATTCTGGGAGTTGAAGTCCACTCATCTTAGCCACCCATTCTGGCTGGGGAATTCTGGGAGTTGAAGTCCACTCATCTTAGCCACCCATTCTGGCTGGGGAATTCTGGGAGTTGAAGTCCACTCATCTTAGCCACCCATTCTGGCTGGGGAATTCTGGGAGTTGAAGTCCACTCATCTTAAAGTGGCCAAGTTTGAACAACACTGCTTTAAGGTTATCTTTGTTTTCTGTCTTGCTCCCAAATGCTAGTTAGTTTGCATGTTACTTCAGACTGCCTAATTTAAGAGATTGCTCCCTTCATAATAATGGGCTATGAGCAATCCATATCATAACTTACATCCTAAAACCCTTTGGTGCTTAGCCAAGCCTGGATGCAGTCTGATACAAAGAGATCCTGGGGTACCCTGCTTGTACCAGCTGTCCCTGATTCCTCCATTATTGAAATGTGATCTCTGGGGATCAGCAGCTGTCTGCACTACCTGAGCCACAGTTATATTTACCTTAACCTTGCCTCTTGTCCTTCTTTATATTTTTAATGATCTGTCCATCATTGCGCAATCCCATGTCTCTCTGCAGGGAGTATCTGCTTCAAATTAACAGGAACTTCATTTGCATACCTACTGAACCATGAGTCAATCCCTTTATCTTGCTCTTACAATTAAAAAATAATAAACTGTAAAAAAAACACTGACATGAGTTAATTAATGAGATTTAAAATCTATATTCTCATGAGATCAGAACAGGCTCTTCAGAACCTAGCTAGGCATCATTCAAAGTGATGTGAGAAAGCCATAATGTGCCACATTAGCCCTGCTTGAATGAAAAAAAAAGTCTCTTATTGCTGTAATGCTCATTAAAGGTGAAGCTGGAGCATTACAATGGTTGGATTCTTATACTGAGTTAGCTACTATCATAGGGGGGTGAGGAATCTGAGGTCCAACAGTTGCTATTGAATTACAACTTTCAGCATCCTGCAGGATTTGCACAACAGGCTGGGACTGGTGGAAGCTGTGATTCATTAGTGTCAAGAGGGCCACAGTTTGATGTTATCTATGAATATCTATCTATTTGGGCTCATTCAATGAATCCCATGGTTAAGCATGCCTTAATATGAGGCAGTAATCATGGTTTATCAAAGTGGTGGGAACAAACCTAGTCTCTAACCTGTACTTTTCTCCAAGTTTGGAAACTTTCACTTCTAGCTTAGATTAGTCAGTTTGTATTGCTTGAACCTGACAAATTAAGGATGGCTTGATTCAAACAAATCAACTTCTTAGTATGGTTTATGAATATGCCTTGCTTTACACTAGCCATTAAGTTCTTAAATTAAGATCTGCACTGCAAAAATCCACATCCAAAAATCCACTGGAGGGCAACAAAGAGCCAGGTTACTCTAGTGGTTAAGGCACCAGGCTAGAAACCAGGAGACTGAGTTCTAGTCCTGCTTTAGGGAAGAAAGCTGGCTGGGTGACTTTGGGCCAATCACTCACTCTCAGCCCAACTCAGCTCAACTCACAGGGTTGTTGTGGGGAAAATAGGAGGAGGAAGGAGTATTAGGTATGTTTGCTACCTTGAGTTATTTATAAAAATAAAGGCAGGATAAAAAAATCTAAAAAAAATTAGTCTTTTCTATATCTCCTTGTTGTTATCAAATTGTTGTCTGGTTTATTGCAATCTGGATCTGGTGCTCCTGAAATACTTCAACATTTATTTTCTGCTTCTCTCCCAGGTAGCTCAAATCAATTTTATCCAAACATGTTGCAATCCTGAGAAGATTAGACAGAGGATAAATTTATTTGCCAGAGGCCACCAACTTCTGTTCATAGCAAAGGAAGAATTTGAATCTGTTTCCTACAGTCAAGCGCAATGTTCTAGAAACCACTCCCCATGCTTTCTTGGAACAAACTCCTCCAACTTAGCACCCTCCTGATACTGGAAATTCTGGGAGTTATAGCCCTGTCACATCAGGAGAGCACCAAGTTGGGGAAGGCTGTTCTAGACATTGGTATGATCTCATATGTGGGTTGGAAATGCCTAACTTTCTAAATGTCAGTACATTTCACTTTGTGGCCCAAAAGCTCGAGGTCAAATTCAGGAAGATCATTTAAAGATCATTTCATTTGTAGTGTATTTGAACTGTCTGTGCAACTGGTGAAGAACTTAATGAAACATGGCCAGAGATGGAGGAGTTAATATAAATTCAAACAAACATTGTTCTTCTGAGCAAAATAGGTAGCAGCCATACTGTGCCTTTATCCATTATTTTCATTATCCATTGCAGGGGCATGAAAGGTTAGCCCAAGTTCATGCTGTTCTTTATCATTACAAGCATGAATTTTGGCAACCCTGATGCATCTGGAGAGTGTGAGGTTGAGGGATGCTAGGACAGAGCATCTAATCTTGAGCCAAATGTTATATGTTGCACAGTATATTTTGCTTGGATGTCTCCTCCATTGTAGTTGTTCCATACTCAAGTGAAAAACAAGAGCAATGTAATAATGTATACCATGCATTACCCATAATGTTCCACTCTGCTGAGTTTTTATGTATTTTATTTGTTTATCCTTCCCCAGCCAGGAACCATAAGAGCAAGCTGATTCTTCTAGTGCTGGAAAGGGAGTTTCATGTTAAGTCCTCGCTGACAATATTGCCTGCTAAATTTGGTCTGTCTTGCCTCCGATTTTGGAGAAGTTTCAGTGCTTAAAAACTGGTAGTTCCTCGGAGTCTACAATCAGGGCATGGGTTGTCATAGGAACAAGGCACATGTTTCCTTCCTGCACAGGAAGGGGACCTGGTCACCACACCACACCACACAGAGCTATTTAAATGTGCAGTCGGGAAATTACATGATATTTGCAATTGGATTGATCAGCTTAAAAAAATTGTTAATAAGCTCCATTCAGGTATTTTCCTTCATTGCCTGCTTTGATGTAAATCTCTGTATGTTACTGCATGAAATATTCCATTTATTTCTAGTGCTGTGGTGTCAATGAAGGTTTAAAATAGCTATTGTTTAGTAATGTGGTTACAGTGGCTTCTGAAGGACTGTTTGTCTTTGTCAATGTGACATAAAGAGGTTCTTTATTCGGAGGATTTGCTGGTCATTGTGGAAGCAGTGTGAAGTATTTTGTTACCGATGAAGAGGCATTTATAACAGATATTTTTCTGCTCAAGTACTCCTAGCCCAGCATACCAGTAAATACTTAAAAAGGTGACTGAATCTAGTTGCAATCCTTAGCCTATAATTGTTTGGTTTTTTAATTAGAACTTTCAGTTGGTGCCTTGCAGGGAGAATCCTCACATATTACTGTGTTTAGATTTATGTCATAGTGGGAAGATATGAGTGTACTGTGGGAAGTATATGAGCACCAGCTTACATTAGCAGCCTTCCCCAGAATTCCCAGCCAACATGGACAAGAATGATAGGAATTGAAATTCAGCACACCTGGAGCATACCAGGTTGGGGAAGTTGCCTTAGTGTGCATTTGTGTGTTGTTGTATACGATGAGGGTGAATAGCTTATGTTCCGGAATCTGTACTTTCACAGTTGCTGTAGCAGAAATATAGAGGAATCCTAAAATGTCAAGAAATATCATCAAGCTGTCACAGTGGTGTCTGAGATTTGCTGCTGCTGTTGTTGCTGTATGTGGGTCCAGGTGGTAAAGAGAAGGAGGTGGAGATGGTTGTCCCTTAATTTGATGGCCAAAGGTAGAGGGAATCTTCCCTCCTGAGCTGACCTTGATGCATGAGTCTAGTAGGTGGCTATATTTTATAGTTCTTACCGTCTTTGTTAAGAGAACCCAACATATATAATACTTTACATCTATGTGTGTGTGTATGCACACACACACATACACATAAAGAGGGAGACTATATTTTACAAATTATCTTGCTGCTCCTTATTTGATTAAATCTATTCTTGGAAGGCAGGAATATCAGTGGCTGTTTCAGTGGGCAGATCAGGTGCTTTCTTTTCTGCTGTGTCCCCCACCATTAAATTGTTTGAGAGTTGGAATGACTGACAAGTTCTGAGTGACAGTTCATGCTCTTTTATACTGCTAATGTCATGAATCTGGGATGAGCAAATACAGATGAGAAAAATATTCAGCAAAGTGGCTCTTCTTGGTCTGTCAGGCCCTAGTAGTAAGGAATTGTTATATCCTTCCATCTAGAAATGGCATCTCTCCTCCGGAGAAAACAACCCAGCTACTGGTTATCTGAATTCAATAGATTAAATGTCTATTGCCAGGTTAAATGTCTTTGATCCTTTTGCTTATGAAAGTATTTAAATGGCTGTACCTGAGATGACCACCTCCCACAATTGTTCTCCTTATGGCAGAAAGCCAGCTAAGGATTTACAAACCATGTAATCAGTACCCTACTCAGTGCCCTTAACTGGCAACTCTTTCTTCTGAAGCCAGCAACCATGACTGAGAAAGACCCTGAGGTACATGTGGAAGAAGATGAAGATGAGCTAGATAACAAACTCAACTACAAACCTCCACCTCAGAAGTCGCTTCAGGAACTGCAGGAGCTGGACAAAGACGATGAAAGCCTTACAAAGTACAAGAAGTCTTTGCTGGGGGAGGCACCCGTGGTTGCAGGTATAGCAGGGAAAAGGTCTTGGTCCTTTGGAAGAACCATATTTTGGGGTAGAAAAAAAAGGCAGTATTTGCTGTGTAATGATATTAATATTGTCAAAGATGGAGAGCATCCATAAATTTTATCCTAAACATGAAGGAGAAATGATTATGTTGACCTGAGTAAATGTTTACTATAATTGAAGATCAACTTTCAATGTTGCTTTCAAGAAGATGGATTCTGTTTTCACTATGCAAGTCTACTTTCTGTCTTAGTTGAGCAGAGGACTTTGTTACTCAGCATAGGAGCAAGTGGGAAAGAACATAACTTAGAGGATCAAACTAGCCATGCTGAGAGAAGTTTCTACTCAAGATTCTGGAGTAAAGTCTCCAGTCAATTTGACAGCAGTGCTAGGTAGACTCTCATGGTTGTACCAATAGAGGCGAATATGTGTAGCTCAGGGTTGAACTCTGGAGTCCTTGGGGTTCTCTGAGCTTGGTTCTTTTCTTGCAAATATTTCATGTTTGTCTTGCAGTCCTTACACTGTATGTTGCAGATGACTCCTGTTTTTTCTTCTTGTGCTACTGTATCTTTTGGTGTACTTAAGATATTTAAGATACGTAGGACAGACAGGCAGAAGGCTGGCAGAGCGCATCCATGAACACCAACTAGCAGTCA